TAGTTGAGCCATACAGTAATGTAATGATAGTCGCGATAACTTGTTGAAGAATCCCTCAACACTGAGGATACATCGGTCACACGTGCATTCATGTTTGACTGCTCGTTCATCGCCCAGTTCCTAACACATCATGTTCCAAAGTCCGATGGTTGACATAATAAAGGACTGTTAGCAAACTTTCTCCGCAAACTGTCAGCTGCGTTGTTGAAAATACCTGAATGCGCTTTATTTTCTGAACCTTTCGTCTCTTCAGACCGGCTTGATCCAAACGCACAAAACACTTCTCCTGATCACATCATCTTTTTAAAAAAATGAATTACAAATGTACGCTTCTGTACCCATGTGAGTCTCCATACTGCTTTAAAAAATCTGTCTCTTTCCTTATAACTGAATTCGTCACAATGGTATCTATTATTCTGACAAGAGCATCCTTTTGTATTTGTTGTGCTATTCTAGCTTTTGTTATTCCAGCCTTTTGGTCTCATTTCGTCTCCAGTTGTGCTAGTCAATCTGTTACTTTCGAGAAGGCAGTCCCCCACAAGGATCAATTTTACCATTTCCTTCTTCCATTCCTCTTCTATCCACCTCCCTGCTGCACTTGTCCATAATCTTGTCGCAAGAATCCATTCCTTCTACATACATGACACATGCATTCCGCCGCCTTCCAATTCTATGTCCATTAGTTCCCTCGTGATTGCTGCCTACAGCTGTAGGGATTTCTGGCAATTGTATGAAGAAAAATCTCAAACTAAGGGTCATTCTTAAGAAGACCATTTATACTTTCTGAAAGTGAATTGTTCAAAACACCAGGGTGAAGCCGAGTCGATGGTGATAGCCATGGGCAATATCGTGGCTCCATGATAGAGGTGAATCGTGGATAATTTGCTGGAGTGCACTTGCCATCATCCGCAGTCTTCTCCAATGTCTTTGCCAGACTCAGCTTTACCGGGCATCTTCCTCGAGATAGGGAATCCATCATGTATCCTCAGCCTGACTCTTGTCAAAATGTCAAGAAACTGGTATTTGAAAAGGGCTAGCATTAATTATTTTATAGAGGAACAGCATTAACGTAGATGAACTATTCTGTAAACCTGACAAAGATAGCCATTTCATATTTCGGGAGTTTTTTTTTCTCTCTTTCGATGACTTGTTCTTGGTCCTTTCTTTACCAATCGTGAATCATAGATGACGCCGGCGGAGGTTTTTGCGTGGAACCTCTCTCTCTCTCTCTCTCTCTCTCTCTCTCTCTCTCTCTCACTCTCTCTCTCTCTCTCTCTCTCTCTCTCTCTCTCTCTCTCTCTCTCTCTCTCTCTCTCTCTCTCTCTCTCTCTCTCTCTGCTAAATATATCTCTGGCATAATAATACTAAAAACCAGACACTTGAATAGATAACTTTATTGATGCGTGATAAGTGAATCGTAAGAAAATGATGTCTGCCACAATATAGTATACATCACGCTTGAAACGTTTAATTTTGCGAAGAGACCAAAGAATAATATCAGTTCACACCCATGGTCACAGCGTAGGATAATTCCAAGAACAAAAATGATTGCATCCAGAATGTCAACAATTAAATAGTAACAATTAAGTGCATATTATTATTAAAATATTTTCTGTAATATTCATAGTATTAGTTTTGTATTACTACTTCTGCTGCTGCTGCTACTACTACTACTGCTGGTGCTGCTGCTGCTGATGATGATGATGGTACTACTACTGCTATTACAGCTGCTCTGCAGCAGCTAACACTAGAGTGTGTTATAATACAACAATTAACGTAGGAAAAGAGGAAGAAGAAGAAGAAAAAGAAGAAGAAGAAGAAGAAGAAGAAGAAGAAGAAGAAGAAGAAGAAGAAGAAGAAGAAGAAGAAGAAGAAGAAGAAGAAGAAGAAGAAGAAGAAGAAGAAGAAGAAGAAGAAGAAGAGAGAGAGAGAGAGAGAGAGCTTGTTGTAAAGGTGCAGGCCCATATTGTGGCTGGAACTCTATTGATCTTTCATGTTCTTATGTCTCATCTAGAGATGCATAAATTAATTGACAAATCTAACCTAGTAAATCGATCACACTAATCCTTTATATCACAATTCACATCATTGTTGACTATAATATTATTTATCTCAATGAACACTGATAACAGTTTACAATTCTGTCTAGTTCAAAAGAAAATACGGAACGGTCGGGGTGATGCACGGCGGGGAAGCATGTAGCCGGTTTTCCATGGCACGTGTCAACGCGTGTCGCGACGGTCTTGTGAAACCGATGCGGCTATGTACATGGCCGGTTTGGCGATCCCATTTTTCCATCAGCTGCAGGTGTCCGTTTTGGAAAGTCTCAATTAAAACATATTTCTAGTTTTTTTTCAAACCTAATATTTATTGGGGACACGTATTAGGCTATTTACTATTCATTAAGCAAATAAAAAGATTTTTGAAATTTTTGCATGTAGCCGGTTTGTGAATCCCATCGACGTCATCTTTCAGGTGTGAGGCAAAAAACAAACGCAGTTAGTAGAGATAAACTGATTACCTAGGCCTTTCCCAGTCCAAGGTAACGAGATTATTAGAGTTAAGTTTTAGTAGAGGTTTTACGGCGCTCGCAAATGCATAATAAGG